GTAAAAAGGGAATTGATGAAACTATCACAATTTAAATAATCATAAATTAAATCGAAATAATTGTAATAAAATTAACTGACTTTATTAAAATGCCAGAAGATTCAACTAAAAATGATATTAAATATTAACTACAAAAATATGTTGTTAATTAAAATTCGATATCCTTTAATGAAACTTTATTCATACAATTCTTTTTGTTGTTGTACTTAAGTATTATTTATATTTTCCCCTTATAATCTTATGGAGGAGCTTAATCTGAGTTAGAAGATTCAGATGATTGTTATACTTTAATCTCATATACAGCCATTTTCTTAAAATTACACTTTTACTTAAAGAACTAATAGTCTATAATGATTTAATCTCTACTTTACAATTTTAGATGAAGTACAGAAATTGAAATATTGAGTTACTTACTATAAATTATTGATGCAATTAATTAAATTTGATAATCCAATAATTAATGATAAATATATTTATAAATATAAGTCTAATCTTCAAAATTATTAGCAATTAATTGAGTACAGGAATTTCTACTACACAAAATAATTCATTTATCCCATTTTTTTAAATATCTATCTCTTTAAGATTTTTTTAAAAAAGGATAGATTAAATCAAACCAAATACTTGAATAAGGTTCTTGCAATAGACTAAAATGATGAACATGTGCATTATTGATTTAAATGTTATAATAGGGTTTGCTTATGAAAATATAAGATTACATTTAAATGCTATGACAAGGCGACTCTTTAAATTAATTCTAATTATGTTCATGTATACTTAAATAAAGATATTAATCTAGAATTCTAATTTTTAGGAATTACTCTAAATTAATGTTAAAAATATCAAGATCTTTTATATTTTTTTGAAAAAGCGATATCCATTTAACTTGATAATGAAATAGCTTTTATGAATAAAGGTAACCTTAAATTTTTAATTAAATAGGGATGACTTTTTATTATATTAGAGATTATTTTGGTGCTTTAGAATGTTTAAAAAGCTATTTCAATATTTTCTAAAAACTCTTAAACTCATTTAAAGAAAGGTTTAATTTTATCAATGAATAGCTCTTACTCTCAATAAATTATATAAGTATTAAGAAACATTAGAAAGCTGTAATACAGCTATCAAAATCAATCCAAAAGATGCTTAGGCTTATTCTAATAAAGGAAAAGTTTAAAATTTTTATCTATTAAAGAATAGCCCTTAATAATTTAAAATTGTATAATGATGCTTTATTAAATTATAATACAGCTCTTTCTATTGATCCAAATTATATTAATACATAAATAAAGGTATAAATTATAAACTATTTATATGGGAAAGACTTAGAAGCTCTTATTCAGAGTTAGGAATAATTTAGATTTCTAAGTTATGAATGAAAATTGAATTTAAAAAAATTATTTAATTAAAATTTAATATATTTAAAGAAAAATTTTTGATTTAAAAATTAATATGATTATTAAAATAGGTCTTTATTCTTAAAGAATATCTATTTTGTAAGAAATAGACTTCAAATTTAGATTTTAGCTCTAATTTAAAAAAATTTATAGACATCATTATGCATTAATCTAAATTGAATTAAAGTTTAGAATAGAATATATTTAGTTTTGATATAAAAAAACAAATATAGAATAATTCAATTTATCTCATAACGATTGATTTATCCATCTTAGAATTCAATAAAAAAAATTGGTTTATTTGATTTAACATAACATGACAAAGAAGTCGCATTTTTAATTTTCATCTATCTTTACTTAACTTTTTCTGTTCTTTTTTGAAATTCCAATGCAATGATCATCTTCTAATTATATAATTGAGTAATCTGCTTTATAGAGTTAATACTATTTTATTTATTTAATTGTGATCAGTTCATACTCAAATATAAGCCCACTTGAAAATGAAACTAAAAATATAAAAGGTGATCTTCCATTTTAATTTGTCGTTTGATCAGCTTAATCAATAATACTTTGATTCCTGATTATTAGTTATTGAGCCTCAAAGTGAAACAAAATTAATGAAAATAAAAATTTTTACGAACGTTCTTTTTAAAATGTTGAAAAATAAAAATAAACTTAATCGTAAATTGATTTGAGTATGTTTTAAGAAAAAATACACTAAATTTTAGATAAATTTCACTGATAGAATTACAAGCTCATATTTTCTTAATTAATTATAACAAAATTTATATTTATATAAAGATATTTTTAATTTAATATGTTAGAATCAATTGAAGAGCTCTATTGCTCATAAAAGCATAATTAACCAATTTAAATGGTTGTTTTCGATTCAAAATTACAGAGAAATGAGAGATTATTATGTTCAGAATGCATGGATAATTTTGATTCTGATGCTAGAACAATTGGATTTAAGAAAGTCATTCAAATGATTGAAGATAGAAAAAAGAAGAACAAAGATCAAGCAGAAGTTCTCATTATGGGAGCAATAAAATCTGTTTAAGAATTTTAATCAGAATTAGACTAATTAAAGTCAACTATCATTTAATATCTAAATGAACTATTTAGGTATACAACTAATTGGATAGAAAATTTAAATATGATAGGGTAATCATAGATTGAAAAATACAGTTTTTTCTAAGAATTAGATTCTTTAATATAGTTGTAAAAGGGAAATGCTTAAGAATGCAAATTTGAAGAATTAGCTAGAGTTAATTATTCTTGGAGTTAAAAATTACTTCCAAAATTTTAATTATTTTAGCATTTCAAAGAATTTAATAAATGCAAGGATTGCTTGAATAATATTCTATTAGAAGTAATATCAAAATCAACCCTAATTTCAAGTTAAATTTTACCTTAAAACAATATATCAGATATATTATCAACTGGACTTACAAGTGAGTTTCATATAAACAAAAATGTTCAACCTTAAATGTAGGAAATAACATAAATAAAATTGAAATTTATTGATGATTCATAACAATAACCAAAGTGTACCTCAGTTATGGCTTTTGACCCAAAAGGATAGATATTAATAACTGGATAAGGTGATGCATTGAGTGATAAAATTTATAAAATATGGAGTTTTAATAATGGTAAGCTGAAATTTAAACAATAATTCTAAACAGAAGAGATATAAGGAATAATCTTTAGTAAGAAAAGGCTAAACTTTATAACATATACAACTGTTATTACATCTTGGAGGTATATCTAGCCAAATGATTGGTAAAAGTCTAAATCAGTATTTAAACCTGGAACTGGTGCTTAGAGATTTGATTTACCATGTGGAGAATTAAATTAAGATGAATCTCTTTTGTATGTTGGGGATGCTGGGGGATCAGTATAGATATGGAGAGTAGATTTTGATTTAAATGAAGTGACTTACCTTGATGAATTGAAAAAGTCCTAAGATCGAATAGCATCTTTAAGTTTAAGTCCTTCAGAAAACATTTTAGTAACCTGCGATAAGGTCATTCATGTATGGTAAAAAAGAGAAGACGATTAGTGGATGTTTAAATATGTAGTTAAATCAGCTGGCATTACTTAACAAGGGAATAGAATCAAATTTTTGACTGATGAATAATTTATTTGGATACCAAAAAACATTGATACAGTTTGTGTATTTGAATTAGAAGATGGGTTTTTCTAGGAAAACTTAGATAAATAAATTTAATTAACAGGAAGCGACGCTTGTGACCGTTTTAAAGGTCCAATTATATACAATAAAGAAAAGAAAATAATCATTATTTTACGTAAAGCTATCATACATATTATTTAAAAACTTAACAACGGAACTTTTAGAATAGCTGAAAAGTAGGGTAGAAATGGTGAAATATGTGGTGGAGCATTGACAGAAAATGGGTAATATTTAGTAATTTGGGATGAAGAAAAAAAAGCTTTATTAAGTTATGGAGTTTAATACAATTGAAAAATCATTTAATTTAAAAAAAATTTTTATATAGTTTATAACTAACGTTAAATTAATCTTTTTGATATGATAATAGTATGATTCTTTATAGAGTTTATTTAGATTTTGTTCAAAGAGTAATTAGATTTTTTATTCATAAAATATTATCATGATTTAAATAAATATCATTTTTTAATTAATCATTTATTAATAAGTGTTGAAAGAATTAAATAAAAAGTTTCTTGATTAGGAAGCAAATTGGGAATTCGCTTTTTCAAATTTTAAAGGAATATTTCGTTAGCTTGATGGTTAATTAAATGAATAATGTAACTGCAATTTTTTTTGGGATGGTTGATTATACATCTTAAAAAGAATGCATATTAAGATATATCAATTACAGCATTTTTCTTTTATAAATATTATTAAGTTAATTGAATATTTGAATTAAATTTGAGTTGATAAATTTAATTGACTGATTTTTTACTTTTTATGAGTATAAAACTTTGTATTCATTGAGTTAGGCTATGATCTAATTAGAAACTGTTTTTGGGCCATTTAATTAAGATCTAACATTTTCTATATAATAATATTTCCTTTATTGATTTTAATATTAAAAAAAATATCAATTTCAATAAATAAATAATATGAATAAGTAGACCTATTTAGTTTGGAACATAAATTCACAATTTTTACTAAAATATGCCAAAATTGCCGACATTACTCTAATTAGTTCCTAATAACTAATTAGACCAATAAAAAATCCCTCATATATAATTGTTCTATATAAGAAAACTAAATATTGAATCTAAAAAATACTTTTTAAGTTTTTAAGTAGATTAATTTAATATTCTTTGGAATTCTTTAATAAAACAGATCTTCAATCCTATTAGATTAGATAGAATTAGATATAATAGATTTAATACTATAGGATTAAAATGAAGTTTAGTATAATGATTAAAGAAAAAAAGTAATAGAAGTATTTTAAAAATTGAGTGAGTAAAATCACTATGAAAATGCTATAATTTTCCAATTCAACCTCCCATAGTTGCTACAATAGGTAATTAATTAGTAGCTTAAAGACTTCAAAACCCAGAAATCATTAAATATCTTTTTCACTATGCAGGGAAAAGTAAATATAGTCTAAGGCAGGTTAATGTACACTAAGGAACCTATCTGAGTTGAAATTACCTTAATGCGCTCAGAATTAAAGTAAAGATCTCTGGATATTTGGAAAACAAAAAAATATTATAGGGCGAAAGCTTCGGAATGCGAAAAAAATCCAGCATATTAAATTTAAAAAATAATAATAGTATGAATATATTATAATAGCCAAATAAATGATTAAGGTCTAAAGAAGAAAGTCTTTATTTATAGAAGCAAATATTTGGTTAAGAAAAGATTATTTTAATGATTGAATGAGTCTCTTTTTAGCCATGTTCTCTCATTAATTGATGGCATTATTAAGAGTAGCACAAAGTTACTCAGCAATATGAGAAACATTATATTTAATCTAAATCTTCCTTCATTTTCAAATCCAACATCTACTATTTAAAAATTTCTAAATTCCTTAATAATTGGAGGTTTTGAAGCGTTAAGCACTGAGTAGTCTCTCATCATTTGGTAAATTTTACTTTGTAAACCAAGATCCTTTCATTATTGTTTTTGAATTTTTCACTTATCTTAGCATAGATATCAACTTTTTTGTACACTTTTGCAAAAGGGGCATATCTTTTCATATGAGTATTCAGAACTTAATGAGGTATATAATATGCTTTTATAACCAGCTCATAAAAAACTGATTCAATATTTAAGCTAACATATTAAACTTGTTTAAAGATATTCTTTCTTATTAAAAATTTCATATTTAATTTTTTAAATTCATTGTGTTTGATCAAAAACATTTTTTGACGAATAAAAATTAATAATTACAGATTCTGTTTATTTCTATAAATTTCAAATGCATTATCTAATAAGGAATAAGCTAAACAAATGTTAACATTAGCAAACAAATTTTAATAATAACACTGATACTTTTAGTAAATTGATAAAAAAAATTTGTGCGATGTGAAAATCTTTGAAATGATAAGCTAATCTAAATTTTGTTAATACATTTCTTAGTTATTAAATTAAACATTCACTAAAATTAAGCAGCTGCAAGTTTTAATTAATAATTTTTTATATTTCTGAAAGTGTTGTCTCAATATTGAAAAGAAAAAATAATTTTATATAAATCATTTTTCATATAAATATTAGCATTCAACTGTCTAAAAAGGGTATATTATTAAAATAGCTATCAAAAATATTATTCTTGTTATGAAATTATTTAAATGATATCATTCATCCAGCTCCGTTAGCCATTCATCTGGTATTACCCATTTTGTTCGTTCTGTTGACAACTTCTAAAATTAACATTTCTTCTAAAACAGCGTCAAAAAAATTTTCTTTTTTGCTTTGGCAATAATTTTTGCTTGAGAAAAGTATTATAAAATACTTTTTTAAGATAATTTTCTCCAGATTGTATTAACAAAATATATCAATACATTTAAATTTGAAAAATTAATTTAAACATCTCTTATTAATTCATTTAAAAGTATGAAACTTTTAATATGTTCCTTTCTAGTATTGGCAATAAAAAATTTGATTTATACTTATATTTTTAATTTATTATTTTTGGAATGAATTTGATTTAATTCAAGCTCATAAAAGCACTAAGAGTTAAATTTTGATAATGAATTGGATCAAATTAACTTTCTCTAATTTTGTTTGAAAGCATGACGCTGCATATTTCAGGATTTAAAATTTAATTTTTATTTGAAATAGAATTGAGTTGATTTAAAATCGATTTTACAAATTTTTATATTGATAATCATTAGATATTTTTGTTTCAAAAGTAAAGAGCATCCTAAACTTATTTATAAATCCCAGAGGCAATTTTATATTACAAAATATATATAATATAAAATTTTAAAATCTCATTGCATTATGATAATATGTTTAAAAAATTTTATCAAATTTTTTTTTCGATTCAGATTATTATTATTATATCCCCTACCAAATAACCAATCGTTTATTCATCTTTTCTTTGAAATTAATCATTTTCTTTTTTTTCAGAATAATCTTTAAGAATACATCCAATTCATTTTGATAAGAGCTTTTAGATATAGGATCTTATCAAATTTGTTAAAACAAAATTTCTAATGAATTCTTGAGTAATTATCAACATTTATTTTTAGATTAGCAAATTAATCATTTATTTCATTTTATAAATACCTGAATCATTTACATATTTTGCACATTATAAATGATAAAAAATGTTTCAAAAACTATTTATTTTTAGATGCTTCTTTTTCTAAACTTTACCTTGTGTAACTATATTTTTAATATAAATTCATCTTCTAAAGAATTCTGACTGTTTACTACTTCTTAAAGAATTGTTTAATCATTCTATATCACTTATAAAATAATTAATAAAGGTTTTTGGGTATTGTTTTAAATTCCATTACTTAATTTTTTTCAGTATTTTTGTGTGTCTCTAATTTAATTAAGTTTTTAAATAATTATTCTTCATAGGGATTGTTAAATTTTTTCATAAACTAATGAATTTTTATCGAATTTCTTATATCTCTATTTTGATAAAAAAATTTAAATATCTTGAAGGAATTTTGCCTAATTTGAATAATAACAATAGTGAAATAAAATTATATTTAAAAATTTATGATACGAAAAAGACTTGATTTATAAGTTTTATTTTAAACATATTCAGCTTTGAACATAACAAACAAAAATAAATAAAATATTTCTTTTTCATATTATACTAGAGAATTATATAAATTATAGAATTAATCTTTGGGAATTATTTCTAATTAGAATAAGCATTTTTTTACAAGATTTCTATGTGGAAGAGATCCCAAATTGATACGAATATGTATTTTTCATTTAGGATAAGCAATATAAACTTTTATGCATTGTAAAGCTAAAGCATAATTCCTAGAAGGTTAGCTAGTAATCCTAAATTTAAATATTATATATATTAAGGTTTAATAGAATTCACTAAAAAAAAATCAGCAAGATTGATTATTTTTTATGATAATTCTTACATAATATATAAAAGTATTCTCAATATTTATTGTCTAAATATTTTTTAGTGTGATATTCTAAGATTAGTAAGTTTGGAATTCATTAAAATGAATTGATGACAATTGCTTTCTAAGATGTGAATCTTCATGCACTCTTTACAAAAGAAAAAAATTTCTGAAAATGATAATTTTTTCCTGAAGACAGAGCGAATCCTAGTTCGAAAAAATGATTATGAAATAAGAAAAATAAAGTTAATCATAAATTGATTAGAATATTTTTAGAAAAAGATACTCTTAATTTAAAATAAATTCTTTGATAGAATTATGAGGTAATAAACCCTAAATTTATAATATAAAAACATATATTCATAAAGATATTTATTTTAATTTAATATGTTAGAATCAATTGAAGAGCTCTATTGCTCATAAAAGCATAATTAACCAATTTAAATGGTTGTTTTCGATTCAAAATTACAGAGAAATGAGAGATTATTATGTTCAGAATGCATGGATAATTTTGATTCTGATGCTAGAACAATTGGATTTAAGAAAGTCATTCAAATGATTGAAGATAGAAAAAAGAAGAACAAAGATCAAGCAGAAGTTCTCATTATGGGAGCAATAAAATCTGTTGAAGAATTTTAATCAGAATTAGTCCAGTTAAAGTCAACTATCATTTAATATCTTAATGAACTATTTAGGTATACAACTAATTGGATAGAAAATTTAAATATGCTAGGGTAATCATAGATTGAAAAATACAGTTTTTTCTAAGAATTAGATTCTTTAATATAGATGTAAAAGGGAAATGCTTAAGTATGTAAATGTGAAGAGTTAGATAAAGTTAATTATTCTTGGAGTTAAAAATTACTTCCAAAATTTTAATTATTTTAGTCCTTCCAAGAATTTAATAAATGCAAAGATTGCTTGAATAATATATTAAAAGAAGAAATAGCAATTTAAACAACAACAATGACAACAACATCGAGTTAAATTTTATCTTAAAATATTATATCTGACATTTAATCAACTGGTATTGCAACTGGAGTAATTACCAACTAAAATGTTCAACCTTAAAAGCAGGAGATAACATAAATAAAATTGAAATTTATTAATGATTCCTAATAATAACCAGGTTCTACTCCAGCTATTGCTTTTGATTCAAAAGGATAGATATTAGTAACAGGATCACGTGCAAATCATGATAAAGCTATATATCAAATATGGAATTTTAATAACGGTGCTCTTAAACTTAAACAATCATTCTAATTAGATGAAGCATCAGGAATAATATTTAGTAAGAAGAACCCTCACTTTATCACATTCACTACAGTTATCACATCTTGGAAGCATATCTAGCCAAATGATTGGTAAAAATCTAAATCAGTATTTAAACCTGGAAGTGGTTTTAGACCAACCTTATTATGTGGAGAATTGAATTAAGATGAATCTCTATTTTATGTTGGGGATGCTATGGGTTCAATATAAATATGGAAAGTAGAATTTGATTAAAATGAAGTGACTTACCTTGAAGAATTACAAAAGCCCTAGGAACGAATATTATCATTAAGTTTAAATCCATCAGAAAACATTTTAGTAAGCTGTAGTAATTTCATTCATGTATGGTAAAAAGGAGAAAACAATTAATGGAAGTTCAAATATGTTGTTAAACCAGCCTGCATCACTTAACAAGGGAATAAAATCAAATTCTTATCTAATGAACAATTTATTTGGATACCAAAAGGAATAGATTCAGTTTGTGTATTTGAATTAGAATAAGGATTTTTCTAAGAAAACTTAGATAAATAAATTTAATTAACCAAAAGCAATACTGAAGATAATTTTTAAGGTCCAATTATATACAATCAAGAAAAAAATGTAATCATTATTTTGCGTAAGACTCATATTCATATTATATAAAAATTAAGCAATGGAATTTTTAAAATGTAAGAAAAAATGGGCAGAAATGGTTATATAAATGGTGGAGCATTGACGGAAAATGGTTAATTTTTAGTAATATGGGATTCAGAAAAAAAAGCATTTTTAAATTATGAATTATTATACAGTTGAAAAATATCATTAAATTAATATCAAGTTTTAAATAAGTATCTTTTGATACATATAAGCTATGTCAATCTTTCAATAAATATTATTAATTCAAGCAAAGTTTTCAAATGGAGTTTGATACCTTGATATTATTTTTGAATGCAATGTTTTACAATTACCTAAAATGACAATAAGATAAAAAGTAAATAAGATCAATTTTGATTAAAAGTAAAAAGGTTTAAAAATGATATACAAATTATTCAATCAAATAATACTGATATTTTGACGATTAAATATTATATTAAATTATATTTATGACATTTGTTTGATTCTACCTGAGCTGTTTCAATCACATGGGTTTCCCACTAGTAGGTTTAATTCAATTCTCTATACTTGGGTTTG